AGCAAATGTCACAGAAATCAGTCCAGTCACGATGATTTTGCTTTCAAAGAGGTTTATTGAAAGAAATATTTTTCAAATTTTATAAAGATCAACTATTTGATTATGCTATCACACAATCAGAACCTGGAGCATCACCGTTTCCCCTCCAACCTTTTGTCTTTGATATGAATCATTAGCGCTTTGGACAACCCAGATTTTCCTAAAAAAGTTGGGTTTATGTGTAAAATGTAGATTTGCTGCAGTTCAGCACCTGGACTCTTACTGAAGAGCTGTGCTGTTGGAACACTTGGAGAACGTTTAGCATTGTCCTGATGAATGTAGACAATGACAAAGGCCTTCATTGAAGTAGATATCATCAGGATGGCAGCAGGCCGTCTAGAAACATTGTAACCAGGCTTTCTTTTTTAACCCAATCGTGTGACTGGTTGCTCATGTTCAGTATTTGATGTCATGTTTGTGGTTTCAATTCTGTTACATGTTACACATTTTCCCAATTTTATAGAAAACGGGTTTCCAGAACTGCTTCACTGGCGAGCTTAGCGTTACTATTTTATGGCTAAGCAGTATTCCATAGACTGCCAGAGTACATTAAAAAGTACTGGTTTTGATGGGACATGTCATGACTCAGTACTTCTAAGCAAGATGTGTTAAAGATATGCTATTGCTAAGAGGTTTCACCACGTCACACTTAAACAGCAAGATGTGGTCCAAAAATGCCTTTCATGTAGGTGTACTTTATTTAACCCCCCAGGCGAGACAGCCCGGAGACCAGACATGGGGAATCAAGTGCTTCAGGATATTTTGGAAACGGTCAACAGTTCTGCCCAGGACTGCCACACATGCATCACTCTGTTACAGTGGTTTGCAACCAAAGATACAAGTATACAATATAATCTTGTATCATCTAAGATCACTATGTTTGCAGCTATTCAGTACCCCGCTCTTCCATGACCTGGAAGTAGTATGTATATATGTATTATATAAATAACGACTCTCCCGTTACCTGGAAGAATTCAGTGTTTCACTCTACACACAGTCTGCAAGCATACAGCAAAAATCCGCTGCTTCGCACATCAAACCTTCTCATTGCCGGATGATTTTTCAGTGCAGCATGCAAGTAAAAATGTGTACAATATTAAAAGTCTTTAGCTTCATCACCGTCATCACCGTCATCGTCGTCACATCCATTTTTACCATGGACAGCTCCTTGTTGTTGTTTTTTTTAAAATAAGAAATTAGAGCAGTCTTTATTTGTTTTGTATATTTTCCTCTATAGTTTTCTGCATTTCAAAGCATGCCAAAGAAAGTTCGGTTTCTGCATAGTGCTGGCTATACAAGTGCCAAAGAGTTTGATTCCTTTACAAGTAATAGAAGGTGGTATTTACAGGCAGAATAGATCCAGTGTTGTGTAAACGGTACCAAACCCCCCCTCCCTCCTTCAAGTGCGCAAAATATCTACAAATAGCAAGTCTGTGAGAACTCATAGAAAGTAGAAGAGAGCTGAAAAAAGCTCAGCAGTATGGAAGAGCTGTTAAGGGGAGGCATGTGTATTAAGTGCGCAGGCAGTTCTTATCTTTGTGTGTGTGTGTGTGTGTCTAAATGCAAAGGGGAAGAAGCCCCCACAAGTCAAAAACTGCCCACAAACCAAAACATTCCCCCTTTTTTCTTGGAAAGTGCACCCTCTATTGTTATAATATGCAGTGTGCATACATAAATGCGTCCTCTAGCACTAAGGTCTACCGTTACATACAAGGTCAGAGAAGAAGAGTCGACAACAACCACATTCTAGTTTTGAGGTCATAGTTCTGAATGTAAAGATACAGTTCAGGCCACTAGGTGACTGTCATTGAACACTAACAGAAGACTCACTACAGGATGTGAGATGGCAATGGGAGCCCACTGCTGAAAGACACCACTGACTGCACTGTCAAAAGAAAGAAAGAAAGTCTTGTAAAGAAGCCAGGTCCACTGGGTCGAGAGTAGTTCTTTGTTTCCAACCAAAACCAATCAAAAGTGGTGATGGCAGTGAAATAAACCAGTAGTAAGAAGAGCTCAGCAGATTTGGTCAGTGTCACCTTAACAGCTTTAAACACCTGCGATGCTTTCACTCACGCTTCGACTATAGAATACTGAACAGAAACTAAACAGCATCAATCATCCTAACAAACCCATCACACCCTCGCCAATCAAGTCCCTTTAAAAAGATCTTTGTTTACAGTTACGCTCAATCCAGCTGCATTTCTGCACCTAACTCAAATGACGACATTCTTTTGGGAGCAAAAGAGCTGGATTAGAGTTTCCAATGTCACCAGCAGTGGTTTGTTTACAGCACGGGCTTGCTTTGGTTCAAACTTAAAGTGCACACGCACGGCCCAATCACCGCACAGACACCGACGATTTCCACTAACGGGTGAGAGATACCGAACGTGGCCTCGACTGCAGGCAGGAGCTGATTGAGAATTTTTCAGTGTACAATAATGTTAATTAAATATGGATACATACTGAATAAATATCGATACAGAGTGAACAAAAGAATGACAGAACACAGAGAGCCGTTACAT